ATTCTTCTCGTTAGGTGGTACGTGACTCAATGGGATAAGAAAGATTTTGTTCCGGTTGCGACTTATGCATATATGTATACTTTGCAATGTTTTCCGAAGTTGAGCGGAATAGGCTTACAGTCTTGCCAAATGAGCAAGGGATCATAAGACGGTGGCAGGGTGTCTAGAGCACAAACTCGAACGAGATGGCGTGGCATAAGTAGAGTTGGAGAAAAAGGGGATAGGTAAGATCTACAGTTCAGAAAGAGTAACCAAATATATGATGACAGCAGAAATCAAGAATTCGTGCATGAAAAATGACGGTATCATGTACTTTCGGCAAGAAAAAGGAGGTGGATGGGGAAAGTAACTTTCTATCATAAGATTAGGGTGTATGGAAATTTTTTTCTCTTTTATCAAGTGAGATGAATAAGAAGAAGGATTTTTGCTCCTATGGAATTTCGTTGTGTGCATTTGTATTCTGGATCTTGTCTGCCTCTTCAAGAGCGTTGAAGGTGATTGATTTATAGGTAGCTAAAGTTGACTTTCGGACTTTGAGGTACTAGGAATATCACCAAATCCAAAGATGGAATTAAAGTGTTAACGTCATGTGTATCATTTGTAGATGGTTCATATAAAAGGTCTTAGATGGAGAGGAATCTCTTCCTGTAGTACTCTCACTGCAGAGAGTGTATAGGCGATAAAGGATTCGTGCACGAAGGAGAGCTTGATATATGGCTTGTATCAATGTATAGGAGATGATTCATGATATGCGTAGTTTATATTGAGCAGTGTGCAAAAGTTTGAGCGATATCAACCTGATTTACGGGTAAAGAGACAGCGACAGTTTGGAGTTTGATGACGGGCGAGATATTAGTATCAAGCTAGCGTGCGTATTCTCAATGTCGGTAAGAACTTCGCATAGATCATAATACTGGCCTTTACCATATGATCAAGTTCATGAATGTAACACAAGAACCTTGAAGAATGGTCTCCTCTCCTATCACTTTGTAGTCTCAAGTCTTGCGTGTCAGTCTATTCTGTGGCACTATCCCATTGACAATCCAGCCTCTTAAATACCTGCCGGTTTCTGAGAAAGACAACGTTTAGCATACTCCACCTGTTTCTCCTGCCCTATTGGGGCGTGAAGTACTCACTCTAAGCCCCAACCAAGCAGACATTGTATAATATTACAAAGTATAAAAGAACTTTACAATATCAATCATTGACCTGTACACTGACCCGCGAGAAACTTGGCCCCTGCAAAAGAGATTCTCTCTCGGGATGATCGTAGGGTAATGCAGTACCTAGCTTTACTTGTACATCCTATTGGTATAGATATATCAAAACCCTTCCATAAAATAGCTTTCTCGGCGGGTTCGATCTATCGCTGTCGCTGGCATCATTGCGCACCATGAATATATCTATATATATATCACCTGAAATTGATAGCAAAAGCGACAACGACATCGACAACGACGATGATGCTGTCAAACGTCCTGCAGAACTAAGCGAATATGGACATAGAAAACTTATCTTAGTAGGTATACCTCCAACGAACGCACGATTAAATCGCTGGTATCTTTCACTCCTAGAGCAGGCTTGACGCCTGTGGTGACTTCTTTTACTCTTGTTCAAATGATTTCAAGATCTTTATATACTCACTATCACACTTCCGAAACTCAAGGATTCACTTCCCATCCTAAACACTCTACAAACAAAACACCACTCCCGCAAACTCCTCGCAAATCAACATCAAAATCCCAAGCGTGGTGGGTATCTAGTCATCCATATCACATGCAGCCAATTGAAGTATGAGCTTTTTGTGTTGAATGAGAAATGGGCAATGAAGAATAATGATGTTGTCCCGGCTGCGTTTATATACCTAGATACCTACCTCTAGGTACCCATAAGTAGGTATCGGTATCATAAGTGAATATTCCAATCCGCAAACCAGGACGTAATGAATGAGTGAGACTTCCAGAATTAACATGACTACCTATGCAGCAGGGACAAAGAGGAGGGATTACCTCTACTCACGTTTAGGAAATTGCTATTCGGTGACAGCGAGGAAAACTCTTCCGTCCCAGAGAAATCAACTAACTCGGCAAACATAAAAGCTTTCTTTCTCTGGTAAGAATTTATGCTTTAGACTGTCTATCTATCACTGAGCGAGAGAGTTAGACATGGTGCTGTGATTAAGGATTATATAAATTAAAGATACTTTTCTACAGCTTTCGGGATTTGGATACTACGGTTTTAGGGGGGGGAGTGGGGGAGTTTTATATCTTTTCACTGTCATTTAAGCGTTTTTGTTTATGGATGATCGTGCGTAATTGGAGTTTGATTGCTGTACAAAGGGATGCGCACAAAGTTGAGAGAATAAAGTTGAGAGGATATTTGTATTATTCTAGATTTTGCAGTTGATTGATTTTTGCGGTAAATGTGTTATTGCCTACCTATCATGTCAGGAATGGTAGTACATACTAGCTAGAGTATCACTCATATCGATTCAGATTTCATCTCAAAATCTTCAAATTAAAATTATCTATCATTCCAAAGAACCTCTTTCAAGTTCCTCTACCCCCCTCCATTCATTCAATCATTCAATCATTCCACCTCTCACCATTTCCCCCTCCATCAAACCCCCAACTCAACCCTCACAACTGATACCTAAACCCTCTATCCACCTCACCCCCCTCTACCGTCCCCTTCCCCTCCTCAATCCTCCTATTCAACCACTGATACGCAAACCTCATCGCTATCATAACACTAATCGCCATCGCCGCCATAATAAACAGCACCTTAAACCCATTGTGATAATACGGTTTATCACTTGCCTGGAAAATATGACTTGCAGGCACGGCGCTCAAATTCGTCATCGCCATGTAGAGCGCGACAGCGATGGCGCGTCGTCGTGGTGTAGGTTGGTTTGCGTTGAGCCAGGCGACGTTGAGGGGGTGCCAGGAGGGAGAGCCGCCGGTGAAGACCAGGAAGGCGTAGAAGGTCCAGTTGCTTTTTGTGTGGGGGAGAGTCTGGAAGGGAGGAGAGTTAATTTGGTGGTTCGGATGAGATTGGTGATGGGACTGGGCGTGGAGTGGGACTTACATCGAGAACGATCAAACCAACAAGTAACCATACTGCAGCAAACATAATCGGTATACTTCTTGAATTTACTCTATCACTCCACCACGATAGTGTAAAAGTAGTGATAATCAAAAGAGCGCTATTTGGCATAACCAACAAATTCGAATTAAAAGTTCCGAATCCGAAACTTTTGATGATGGATGGAGAATATGTTCCAATGGGAGGAGAATATTCCAACCCGAGCAAAGCCATCGAACAATGCGCCCAAACTTTCCAATCGGTAAGAACAGAAACCACGATTTGAAATTGAGAGAGATGGGAATCTCGGGGATCGGTGTTGTATGGATTATCGCGTGCGAGTCGTCCTAGGAGGATTTCGGATTCGCGAGGGGTGAAGGATGAGAGGGGAAGTTTGATGATGGAGTTTCCGCGGCTGGGATCACGGGGTAGGAGGAACAGTGTTGCGATTCCTACTGTGAGAGTAGCGAGTCCGTCTAATGAATGATTAGAAAAAGTGTATGGTGAGGAATTGAAGATATCACATGCCAATAAGGAAAAGCCATTGCCACCCCGTCAAGCCTGCTCTTCCACGAAGTCGCAATAAACCGTATGCAATGAGACCATTAAGTAGATTCGCCGTGTAACTACCAATGAAGAATAAAACTGTTCTCTTTCCCAATTCACGTTTGGTATACCATTTCGTAAGATACCATAACGTACCGGGAATAAATCCAGATTCACATAGACCAAGTAAGAAACGTGTTGCTAGGAACCCAGATTTATTCTTGATGAATGCTTGGAAAGTAGCTACGAGACCCCAGGCGAGAAGTTGACATGGCAGCCAGATATCGGCACCAACCTATTGAAGGTTAATACGAGGACTTGAGAGGAAGTGGTAAAGTCTAGACCTTTTGAATCATCAGATTTGCGGGAATATCTCCAATGCAAATACCGACGTAGACAAGACTATTTCCTGTATTGACAATTTCTTGATTCATGGAAAGATCCTTCATCATATTATCTGTTAGGGCATTTGAAATATTACCTCTGTGTGCTACATTAGCTTTTCTGTATTTAGGAATTGGTAATTCTGAGTGTACCTGTCCAAGTTCAAAGTGAAGAACATAATCATGACTAAAGGAATCAGATAGAAATCTAACCGCCTTAGGATTTGTTTCTCTTCATCTTCGTGCCATTCAACTGCTAAAAGTCGTTTATTGAGCTCCGAGTTGCTCTTCTCGGTAGGATCCTCATCGACACTATCAACCCGAGCTGTGATATCGTTTGTCGGCCCCATTGTCTATGGTACTTTGGATGTAAGTTTCCAATAGATATTGAGACTATACTCTGACTTCTAAGTACTTGTCAGTGTTCCGCCGATCAACTGGTCGACCGCAGTCTTTTCAAGCTTTTCGAGCTTTATCTTATCTCAACACAAGCATCGCACGTTTTATGATTAACACATGGGAGTATCTGAAAAGTACCCCAATCGGCGCCAAACGAAAGGCGTGCTTCGGAGACGGTTTTATGTCACTTTGGTTATCCAAGCCAATCAATTAAGGCTGGAAATATCGAGGGTCTGGATGTGGTAGCGATGCAGAGACACAAGCGAGATGTTGCGAATCTCACCCCTGACATGGCGCCTTTTAAAAATGCAGACCTCGTCGGGTTTCACACTTGATTGCTGGATTAATTCATTGTGTCAATATATTGATTTATCGTGCCTTATTATATCCCTAATCTTTCATACCCTCTCGGTATCGGTATATTGAATAGCGATAGCTTGTGGTAAGATTAACGGAATCTCTCCGAGTCGTCAATTTCCTAACATTTGTTCAATTATTTTTGATTTCAATTGACTTCAATCTAAAGAATTTCTTTTTGAGCATTTTTACTTTTCAGACTTCGAAAAAGATAGCTTGCAAACTGAAACAATGGCGATATTTAACGATTCAACTAAGGCTGCCATTGCAGTGGCTGAATTCCCTGTAGGAAAGCCAACCAGCAGTTCTTCCAGACAACCAAAGCTACCACCAAAGCCCGAGAACTTACCTCATCCCGAATACACCACGCCAAGAGGTGTATCACCTCTGCTATCTGTACCCAAAGCAGGGTTGCAGTACCCAAATTATACGCCTTTTAAGCTCCCAGATTTGGTCGAACATCCATTTGTCGACAGAGGAATCGATTCCGACCCGAAGAAGAGTAGATTACTTGGTGCAGCATCAGAAGTAAAGCATCTGACCCCATCTATCGGAACCGAGCTTGTAGGAATCCAACTCACATCTCTCGATGATACTCAAAAGAATGAACTCGCTCGATTGGTCGCAGAACGTGGAGTAGTATTTCTGCGAGATCAAGAAATGGATGTTCATGAACAAATAGAATTCGGGTCTTACTTTGGAGAACTCCATATTCATCAGATGGCAGGAATTATACCTGATTTACCATGGGTACATCCAATTCATAAGGATGAAACTGCCAAAAATGGTCGATCCCATCAAATATGGCATTCTGATGTGAGCTATGAGATACAGCCACCCGGATTGACCTTTTTGAGAATGGATACACTTCCAAAAGCTGGACCTGATGGATATGAAGCTGGTGGGGATACAATATGGGCGAGTGGTTATGGTATCTATGAGTGTAAGTTTGTCCAATACATAAGTGATGTCCACAATACTTATGCTTCTTCTCATAGCATTATCTCCAACATTGAAAGGCATTTTGGAAAACCTGGAAGCAAAACATAGTGGTCTTGAACAAGCCGAGAAGGCATTGAAAGGAAATGGTTGTCTTCGGAGGAATCCTATTGAGACAATAGTAAGTATCATATTTCACTATGACATATAATTCAATTGGCTTACCGTTGAATCCTACAGCACCCTGTCGTAAGAACACATCCAGTAACCCAACAAAAGACTTTATACGTGAACGAAAACTTTACCAAGGAAATCGTGGGTGTCGAAAAACGATTCAGCGAATCTCTTCTCGATTTCCTCAATCGATACGTTGCAGAAGCATACGAATATCAAGTAAGATGGAAATGGTCCACCAATGCAGTTGCAATATGGGATAATCGTGCTACATTTCACACTGGGATTTTCGACTACTGTGAGTACTGATTGTACAACCAAACTTTTGGCGGGCAATATACTAATAGCGATACGCCATTAGATCCTCACCTTCGTCATGGATTGCGTGTTGCTACCCAAGCAGAAAAGCCCACCAAATGAATTGGAACATTGTGATGAAATGAACGATTTGCTCCTCGGCTCAATTGATGGAGGAAAGACTGGTTTGAAATGATTCATTCGACTAAGATATGAGGTTTTCGAGAATATGTATAAAGTGATTGGTGTCTTCCAGTATATATTAGGCTCTAAATGAAAAAGAATATTCTCATTATCCCTTTTCAATACCAATTGTTGAACAAATATCTTAAAAAGTCATGTTGAGTAATATCGTAAATATACTTTTTTCTTGGTGTTCTTTAGGGTCGCAACTCACTAGAATCAATGCGACCAAAAGACAATCACCCGTTTTCTCAGAGCCAAGACAAACTAGAAATGGTGAATCGTCCAGGGCTGGATAGAGTAGAGACTAGATCATCTCAAATTTTCGAATGTCTCGAGGTATCTTTTCGTTAAGACGAGACTAGAAATGACATACATACTCACTAGCTGGGTAGGTAGAGACGATGGGGAAAGATTGAATGATCAGGTACCCAGTGTAATAAAAGTATCCGGCTGAGAATTTCGCCCACCATTTTCAAATCTTCATCCCTCTCTTGTTTTATCCCTTACATGTTCTCATATTTATTGTACTTTTAAACATGATTTGAATATTGCTGGTTCGTCGTGGTGAACAGTTTTCTGATAATGAGAGGCGGGCCTTCAATTTCAATAAGCCAAGGTATGAATAATCTCTGCCAGTAATGATTCCAGGAATCTTTATGCTGTTCAGAGTTGAGCAATACATTCTCATTCCCAAAAACATGATTTGTCGTACTTGTTGTTCCCCATCCATTCGATCCAGCTTTTTGAATTATTCGTGTGAGAGAAAGCATGCTGCTTCGGAATGGAGATGCATTAATTGTGTGTAACCTTCAAGTGTAAGGCTGGGTAGAACAAACGGAGGAAGAATCAAGAAACTGAACATTTGCAAACGGCTCTCAGTACCTAGTAGCAGCGATAAGCCATGAAGAACTATTACTACCTAGTAGTTAGGTGGTATTGTGTGGTCAAGAATATTAGTACTCTGTACTTCACTTCCACTCTTTGAACATGGAAACAGGACAGCCACCATGTTTTATCGAATATTGACACTGTCATGTCAACGGCTTCCAAACTAAAAAAGGAGATGCTCTAGATGTTGCTGTCGTCACCCCACAGCTAAAGTGGCCCGTGATAAGCTTCATCCCAGTATCACATCACCCCTCCAGACCAGAAATATTCTATGAATAACATGATAAATTTTTGTATTTAGCCTGCATTGTGATCTATCTGATTTGGCTGGGAATTTAGTACAATTGACACGCATACACATAATCTTATCAAACCACACTACTGACTATCCAAGTCGAAGTAGACATCATCTAGTCCGCCGCTGTGCCTTGCGTGTTCAACTTACCCCATATCCATACCTAGGTACCCATACCCATGAACAAAACCAAAAAAAAATCTTGTTTCCCACGAGCCCGCCAACACGCAACAACCAGGATTAAATCTCGCCAAAAGAGTGTACCCAGCAAGCAAGATCCTGAATCTGGACCTCGATGACATCACACCATCTTATTTTCCTGCTTCTTCCAATCTTTTTTAATGTATGAAGTCCCACCAGCCTCGTTGCTGGTTTTCTCATTCCCTAATTCCACTTAATCCACCTTCAAGAAAACCAACTATAAAGACCTTCTCAAAGCAATTTTTTTCATTTGTTTACCTTCTGATGTCCTTTATCCTCGAACCATCATCCGAAGCCTATCGCGAACGCAAAGCCAAGAAATCGCGCTCGCAGCCTCAAGCTCAAAACCAACAACTCCAGAGCCAATCTCCACCACCTCAACCCCAAAATATGTCGATGCAACAACAACAAAATGGCGGCGGCCAACTAGCCCACAACTTCCAACAAAACTTCCAACAAGCAAAACAGCCCGAAACCAGCAAACCTCGATACAAGGGAGGAAACTACGGACCGGGCACCATATCGCAACGCATTGAAAAAGCCATGTACGACCTGGAGCATCAAACCTGGCGCTGTCGTCTCGACAAGCCATCCGCCCTCCTCGAATACATTGATCCCAAAGCCGTGTTTGCCTCTCCGGAGTACGGCATCCTGACCAATGATTCCGAACCCACGTTGAAGGAAACGCTCGAGGATGACGATATGCGGACGTGGAATTCCTACGAGATTAAGGATATGAAGATTGTAGAGGTGAGCATGATGGCTGCCACCGTCGTGTATGATGTGACGGCGAGTATTACAGATGAGAAGGGTTATCCAAAGGGCATTTACAAGGCGTATTGTACGAGTTGTTGGAAGCAGGAGGCCAGTGCGGATTGGAAGTTGTGTACTTATACCGAGGCGCCGCATCCTTAGTGGAGGGGTAGGGGAGAGCGGGGAGGGTTAGCGGGGGCTTGCTTGGATGAATGGAATAAGTAAAAGGGGTGATTAATTATGATGTTATGTTATGTCTTGGTCGATGGATGTGCATGGTGTCTGATGGATGAGGCGTGGGTTGGCATGGCACGGGCATGTTTGGTGTTTGGATAGGTAGGATGATATAGGAGTTTTAATGGATATTTCGTCATCATCAATATTGTTTATTTTTTCCAATGATTTACCGATTGGCGTGTTCACATTAGCTCTATGCGCATTCACTGATATATCTTTTTCTCACACATGCCGGACCTCTATTCACTACTATTAATCGTGGCATATAAGCGGACAGACAAATAATTCATGGGATAATGTCGCCAGCATGGTATCTCAATACGCCATTTCAATATAACAAAGCAGAATACTATCGTCCTGTTCCAACACACCAATACATCACAACATCCCTCATCCAAAAATCCCAAGCGCTCAGGATCCCTCCCATTCCCATCCTCACCCCCCACTCACCCCTCTAAAAAGTCCCCCAATAATGCTTATCATAATCTCCCTGAGGCTTCCACAACGGCGCAGGCGTATACACCGGAATCGGTACCGCCGTACCATACCCCGTCGTCGGCACCGCCCAACTTGGCCACGTGGGCGTTGCCCATCCTGTCGGCGCACTAGTAATCGTATATGTACTCGTATACGTTTTGGTTTTTGGATTTTCTCCCGCGCCCAAACTGACAAGGCCATCATTAGTCCCATAGACATTATCGCCCTGGCCGAAAATGTTAGAAATGTGGTTTACACTTGTGCTTCCGCTTTCGGTCCAGACGGTGACGTCTTTGATGGTGATGTTTGTGGCAGGGATGTAGTCGGAGGCGAGAAGGTAGAGCGCGGGGCGTTGAGCGCCGTTTTGGATGGAGCCTGTAAAGTTGCGAAAGGTGATGTTGGTTAGGGTGACGGCGCCGCTATCGGGGAGGTAGGTTTGTTGCCAGTATTGGTTGAGATTTATTCCGTAGAGAGATGCTTTAGAACGGAAGTTTTCCCAGAGAATGTTGGAGACGTAGCCGGAACCGCCGGGGTAAGTTTTGATGAAGACGATTTCGTTACCGCCAAGGACTGATATGTTGCGTGCGTGCTGAGTGGATGTTGTGTTAGTTTCGACAGTAAGAGATGATATGAAAAGGGGAGAGGAGAGACGAACAATGTTTGAAATCTCGGCCGAAACATTTAAACTTCCAATCGAGATCCCCGAGCCAACTTGGTTACAAACCAAATTTTCCACCAGCGCATGATGGGAAGGACTTTTAACAGACACACATTCATCTCTATTTGTTACCTATCATCACCAAGATCAGTTTCTATTTCCCTTCATTTCCCTTAATCCCGTGGTAGTCTGGAAGAATTTCAAGATCTAGAAACCATACCTCATTATCATGAACCCAATAATTCGTCCCAATAGCATCAATTCCATCATAAGAGCCCAAATTAGCTCCACGGATAGTCAGGTGATATACTTCAATATTCTCGCCAAAATCAAAAATGAAGTGGAATTTGGGACTATCGATTAAAAGTAGATCATGAATTGTAGCATTGATTGGAGAAATAAGACGGAGCATTCGAGGTCGATTGGTGCTGAGTAGTTGTTAGATATAGACAACTTTTGGAAGAGAAAAGGGGTAACTTACTTTCCAGAAATACGGTACAAATAACCTTGACCTTGAATTGCTCCAAGACCATTAGAGGAGTAGAGTTCGAAATCAACGGCTGAGTTTGTTTAGTTCAGAATGATCGAAAGAGGGATTATTAGCTCACCATTAATAATGACGATTAAGTTCTCCAAGAACTCTCCGTCACCCTCCCCATTAATAGTACTATTCGATACCTCAACGTCCGTAATCCCATCATCCAGAATTTGCCTCGGCAATACATACCTATTTAACTTCTCTACACCTGCAAATCCCTCTAGAATCCTTGCACGAGGTACAACATATGGTACAACATAAGTCGAATCCGTTGAATTTGGATAATAAGTCGCGGTAATAAGACCGTCGAGTTGGAAAGCCCAATTGGTTGCATTACTCAAGATGATGCTAGTTTTGAGCGTGTAGTTTCCAGCAGGTACAATTAAACGACTACCAGCATGTTTTTGAACACAAGAGGTAAAGGCGTTAGTAATTGGGATAGAGACATCGTCGGTGAGAGGATTGAAGGTTGGATATAGAGTGCGAATGTTGCACTCAGTAGTCTTTTTGGAAAGAGGTGTGGTTACGCCAACTGGACCAGTGAGTTGTGCTTGTGAAAATAGACCCAAGTGAAGGAGCAAGAGTAGGGATGCTTTGATTGAAAACATCTTGAATGCCTAGTGCCTTTTTGAAAACGATGCTATAATACAAGTACCTATAATCTTCTTATGCTCGCCCACGACAATATCGTCAAACAGACGTACATTTCACGAATTCTGTCGCAATCGCAGAATCCATAACGGACTTCGGATCTGCAAATTAGATGGAAGAGATTATGCACCAAACATACATCTTCAATAAACTTTTTAATATATTGAACCATAGATTTGGAAGGCGGGTGGGGCTGCACCCTGTGAACGTCATGATCAAGGGGTATGGCGCATTTAGGTGACATTCGGTAACTCGGCCGAGTTATGACCGCGAGTCAGCACCTCCTTCCCTATTTCAAGTATTCGGCATGCAAAGGTGTATTGAGGTTCTATTTTGTTATGGGTTTTGTTTGGGTCGAGGGTGTTTCATAGGTTACTTGGATTTGCCAAGCTTATTTCCACTGCACCTTCTCCTCATCACTCCGAAGTACAGTTTTTGAGCTAGTCATTTTCTTGTTGGTGAAATCTTCACAAACAATCTCAGCTACGCTCAATAAAGTCACATATCTGCTGCCTGCAGAATGAATACCGATATCAAGACCGTCGAGTAGAAGCTGTGGAAAGTTGATAAGATTGACTCTGAAAAATACAAATTCAGCAACAGTCTCCCCAAGAATCGCTCCCGGACGTCCGAATTTTGAAGCTGTGCAAGTCTTTCATCGCCGATTTTTTCGGAGTGGATGTTTCTTTGTCTCATTTATACTTGTACACTAAGCTATTCATACGTGAAAAAACTCCGTTTGCTCACTTCGCAAGGAGAGTCAAAATCAAAAATTGGAGAAAGCGGGGCATTTTCCCCAGCCATTGGCCTCTTCTTAGCTAACACAGGTCCTTCTCGGCTTAATAACAAGCGCTGGTACATAAGTAACGGAAACAATCAAGGTAGCAAAATTCTAATAACGTGGTTATGTGTGCTGAAATTAGTCTAGCTAATGACTACTTGATCTCTGAACAGGAATCCACTATGCGGGTTATCCAATCTCAGCCAAGAACTGTAGCGGTAACAATATCGCGCCATAGGCCGATTAAAATGGATATGACAAAAGGTGTTCGTAGTGAAGAATGAAACCCCGTGTTACATCTACATGACGGTGCTACTGAGCCAAGAGAAGAGAGTAATTGTCGCAGTGCAAAGTTAGGGGCGACACTTAACTTTTCTTGCCTGATTGCCATCATCAGCTTGCGTTAATATTCATATAATTCCTTCCAAACTGTTGAGTATTGAGAATCAAGGTATTGATCGACGATCGATATAATTCAGAGTATAGAAAAAAAAGTATGTACTTTACGCGAAAAGATGATATATATCAATGATCGATGCAAATGGAATGATTCAGTTAAAGATCATATCCTAAGCTCGCACAAACACACACAAAATGTGGTATATGATGCTCCGATTACGTAGCAGAGCAACATATGAAACTAATTTGCCTTTAGAGTCTCGACTTTGCAAGAGATATAAAGAGTAGATAGGTTCTATAGGCCTTTGATCAATCATTTTCGGAGCTCAGGGAGAAACGAAGATGCCATTCAGATCCAAATTCCATATATCACAGAGAACAGCTACACAAACTTTGATAATGAGCGACTAGCCCTCGTAAACGAATGACAAGTTCTTTGACCTGGACTTGACTGAATCATCCTCCTCTAACACTCCATTCTCTGCTTGAAGACAACGCAGTTATTCCATCGAAAAGCTTCAGTCCTGAGTTTATCAAAGTGCAAGATTTTCAGTTAATCTATCCCTGGGATCCACACTAGAACCTGAAATTTAGCTTTAGAGACTCAGAATCAAATCGCATGGTAGAAAAATCAGGAACAGTATGAGCACTGGATGCCAAAAAGCCTTTTTTTACTCGGTAGAACAACTAATTATGCTTGCCCACCTCATAAATAGAACCCACTCGGAGATCATACCCTCAGCAATCTTTGAAAACAGTGTCAGTTCATTCTTCCTGAGTCCGAGAATTTTTCTTTTCTCTATCATCGGTGCCAAGCCATAGCATATCCGGGCGACTATAATGATCACCGACATCTATGAATGCTTTATACTTGAGTATATTATCTAGATGTGACTCCGTATATATTACACTCTCTTCAGCATCTGAGATGCTCGTGGAAAGTTTTCGACCATCCGGACAAAAAATTGCCGAACTTCCTCCCCTCGGGCTGTTCATGAAAGCGCCCGGCGCTCGTATCCACTATATTAATGCCATTTTGAGTCAAAACAGCTGTTGTGTGAAGAACGAATGTTTGAGATTCGATTGTGTATATTTGTGATAAATTCTGGGTGCCTGTGGGGTTTATGTGAGCATAGAGTAGGCTCTATTGTGATATTGAATGTACAACAAACCTTCCTTAGACATTGACCATAACCCTGGACCTCCGTCGTGTTCGAAAACGGGTGGCCAAGCAGCCACATGAAAATCTTCTTTCCGAGGTATTGTATTATACTTTAATAGTGATTGAGCAAGCTCCCAGCATGCCAGAGCACCAAACCTACCAATGCCTGGAACTTCTGCTACATTCTTCAGGCAATTGCCGGATGCATCTCCAAATACAGTCCTCTCCATGTGCGTAGGCTTTAATTTTCTTCTTGCCATTGTAATTCTGCCATCGTTCCTTATGATGACCTGAGAAATGTATATAGAATTGTTGTCATTTTCCGAGAATCCAACTGACACATTGATGTTGTTTTCAGCTACACAAGCACAAATTTGGGCCATCTGAGGAGAGTTGATTTGCAACGAGTTTTTGATGTATATTATAGACGGTTCGAAATCAACAGGGCGACACCTAAAATCTGTTCGTATTAGTTCGTTCCTCAATTGGCAGGATGCTGAATTGATATACATACCAGTTTCAAGCTGGGTACCCAGGTATCCAGCATTCGGGGAAAGTAATGAGCTTTGCTCCATTCGTAGCTGCTTCAACTATAAGACGGCAGGTCTTATCCACAGCCTTCTCAAGATCTAACCATTCCGGTTCTGCTTGTGTTACTGCAAATTTCGTTGTTCCTTCTCAGTGTCTCATTTTATGCTACTCGTTCGATGGATTCAATGGAGGACGAGCTTTCTGTGTGCGATCAACTTATACCCAAAACTTGGGCGGGGTTGTCCCTCAGCAATGTTACACTTCCATGACTGTGTAGGATGGACGATATGATGCAAATGTGAGAGAATTGATAATGCGGGATGACAGCAAGCTTGTTGCATGTAGCGGGGTAGGAATAACTACTCCATTTCCGCGGAACTATAAGCACTGAGAACTCCTCGCCGGCTCGTGATGACTCTCCGGGCTTTGAACAGGGCTCTGAAAATAAGTTTGAAGGGGAATTCGGGTGGTAAGAGAAGGGATCTTAGGTCCACAGACGGTTATGTTGTTGAGCCTGTACGTTCCAGAGAGATGATTTGTTGACGCATTTTTAAGGTGGTTCCTATGCAAATGGAAACCTGGGAGTCAAGAGAGTGCGGCTTATTGAAGCAGAGAGCCATAGCTAATACGAAGAATATGTGTTGGAGTGCGACAGAGAGTGTGTATTTGTGTTTAGCAGAAATTGGCCATCTTATTGAATACCATGTAGAAATTCCTTATTGTCTGTTGAATGAGTGAGGCTGTTGACCCTAAATTGCTAGTAGCTTGCAGCACTAGAGCTGCAGCCTAGCACAGACACTAAGCTTTGCTTCCCCAAATTATCTCCTTCACCAAACCTTGTTACTACTTATTCATGTCAACCTTGCCAACGACAACTACAAATCCAAAGTTGGAAATAAACATCCAGCCATGAGTTCCTTCTGCAGAAATATACAACACAGGTTTGTAGTTTGCCAGATCATATTCCGATGGTTATTACGATCACAAACAGTTTCTAAGTGAATGAAAAGACTCCGCTGGTTTTGTCAATTGAATGCTTCAACAGTCATCAAATCTGTTTGATACAACTTCTACTGATTGTATGCAATCATGGGAATCTGCATGATATAGTTTCAGTGGCAATTATCACTTAAGGTAATCCCACAATCGGATCTGGCAAGTATCCTGTCATGTTCAACTTTGCTTGACGCCAAGAATATGCTCACTTTTTTAATACTTGTTCATCAATACCAAGACCATGGTGGACAACATTCATTCTCACAACCTCAGTTCCTCCGATGGTTTTTTGTAATTCTCTACTCTGCCTGACAGCAAGATCTGTAATGGCCAGCTTGTCTGATAGATCAAACCAAGCCCATCCTCTTCCTACGCCCTTTCTGCCCTCCTGGTTCTTTCAACCTCTCCGGGGCTTGGAATTTACCACGAATATAATCTTGCCAACAAGCCTTTTTTCCCCCCCTTTTATAGGGAACCCCACCTTTACTTCTACTCTAACATCTGCCATACAACAACCAGCTTTCCACAGCAGCTTAAATCCAGACAACAAAAGAGGCCCTCTCCTCTTTCGCTAGGTACCAACCCTCTGTTCAGCTTTGATGGCACTGTGCTTTACGGTGCCTCCGGATTTTTTCGGGTCAACCTCAATCCTCAGACTGTGTCACCTCAAAGGGTATCTTCCTCTTTCCAATGATCGTCGCAATCGGACTACAGAGAATGCGATACAGAGAGTGCACAGAATTGACGCAAGGTTGGGGTATAGAACTAGAAGATCGAAAGGCCATGAAACCAATAGAACTCTATCTTTTACGGCATGTAAATGAGGAAGAATATATAGTAAGAATGCTGGCGGCAAGAGCAGCGTCTCGATATCACCCAGCATCATCATGGGCTTCCTCATCGACTTGCTTAGTGTTCCACAACAATTCCTGTGCTCGGAATCAAGACCCCAGATGTTCTCGAGTATCCATCCAAGATTCATGATAACGCTCCAAAGCGCAAGACTGCTCAAGTTCAGGTATGAACAGTTCCTTCCGCTGATTCGTCACTCAACCCTTGCCTATTGTATAGCAGGTATGAAAATCATAGCTAACTTCAGCTATACATACTACGTTCTGGTTCGTACCATGCCACCATGAACATGAGACTAATTGGGAATGAGGATGAAGAAAAAGATGAAGGATACTTCATTGATATCTACAGTGCGTACTCCGCAACTAAATATCAACGCTACCGAACACTTCTAGGCTAGTTGGGAACTGGAAACTGCCAAATCTACGAACCTCTGCATGCCTCGCCAGACACGCTCAGAATCATAGTATGATTATGAATGATATATACAAGTACCATAAGCTGATATAATAATCGCTTCCCAATTTCACATAATCTTCTTGGACATGGTCGTAGATTCCAGACCAGATATTCCTCAAGTTGGGACGAAAATGCAAGCACAAGTTCAGGATACCACGCTGTTTACTGTCACATTGAGATGTTTTGTGTTATGACGTTCTGATTACTACTTCATTCTTGCTATAAACAAAAAAACCTGTACTCTTAAGTGAGAGCAGAAGCACTTGTAGACCGACTATTCCGTTCCTGAAAACAAAAGCATGAACGTTGCATCTTAAGTCGCTTGAAAACCAAAGCAAGGCCCCCTCTGTTGTTATTGCGAGATTTCTTTTGAATACACCTTTCCGTTGAAAAATAATTCTTTGGTCCTTCCCAGCTGTATGCTATCCTGGGTATCTTAATGTGTCAATTGGCTCTCACCGAATCCGACTGGCTAATTTAGTTCGCTTTTTTTGGTACCGGCGATAGTATGCGGCTCCAAACACTTCAAAAACATTTGGCAGGCTTTGTTGGACAAATGGTCTAGTTCTTTTTCACTAGCTCTCCCATTCTTTGGGTTGAGTACTCGCGCCCTGACATCGAACTCATCACTGACTTTCAATCCTTTGATTGCCTTCACAACATCTAAAGCCACATCGCGGATATTTTGCTGGAAGTAGAGCATTTCGTCTTTTGGCAAGGACAAGTAGAGTAGCAATGTCTTGACGCATTGAAAATGCTCTGTGATAAATTTACAGAGAAGTAAGAATCGACAGAGTTCACAGTGGTCCGAGAAGGGCTCGTCCAGAGTGTGGTCTTGGCAATGCCAAAAGGTGTTCAAGTGTAAGCATATGTGTTTAACTTCTGCGTGGTTGTCCTTAGTGGTGCATCGCCGAATTTGTAGCTAAAACGCGGTTAGTTCGGAGTTCAGATTAGAAGGCGGATCAAAATACATTTTTCTGTTTCTTGGACTCATTTAAAACTATGGTGCCAAAATGTAGACGCTCACCGAAGTCAATAACAACGTTATCCCAGAAGAAGTCGACAATCTCTTTCCAAATATTGATATATTCATCAAGTACAACGTCCATCTTTTGTATCTCTTTGCCCTTTCCTTTCCCGCCCATAGTAAGGCTGTTACTGCTTGCTTCGTCCAGTTGGAGTGCATACTCAACTTTTTCTAAAAGCCATATCAATTTCTGAATACCCCGGTATTCGTTCGGCTTAAAGAAATCGAGCATTCCCTCTGACTGCTCCCAATCTTTCTCATTTGTCCAGTCCTCAAGATCATCTTCTGTAAGACCTAAAAGATCATCAGATACGTAATGTATAGGAGAAAGAGCTCGGTGTACCGTTGAAACTCTTCTAGAAACGGCAAATCGTCTTCCATTACGGGAGAGGCGCGCATATTGGGCATCTGGGGACCAAGCGAATATCAAAAGTTTGTAAATCCTGTTTCGTACTCCGACAGGGAGCATCTTGAACAACTTCCAGAAACTGCTGGCTGTTAGTTCAGAATCTTTGATATCAATGGCGCAGAACATCTTATCTATACTTACTCAAGTGAAGTTGGGCCATCTCTGAGAAAATCGCCAAATGGTTTTACAGCCTTGAATTTGGAATTGAGTTTTGGTTCTTGTTTAGGACCAGGTTCCTGATAGAAATCGTCTTCCAACGATAAATAAGGAATAGACCTTGATGGAACTGGCTTGTTTGCACTGCGAGGTCGATCGTCTGATATATAGCAATTTGCGAATGCCACTTCGAAAATTGGGACGTGAGTGCTCGTACGAGACATAATGGCTGCTCGTTACTATATTATGAAGAGTGATCAGTGGGAGGCTTGATAAATGAAGGAGGTGATAAGACAGTCATGGAATATTGAACAAGTGCTTACCAGAAGACCCAAAGTGAAGGTTGATGAGGAGGAAAGTTACACAAGATCTTTTTAAGTGATAGATTTTTGAGGCTGTTATTGAAAGCGAGTCAAGGTATGAAGAGACAGTCGAAGGATTACCGATTAGAGGCAGAGCTCAAAAATTCAGCAAGATTTGTGCAAGGTATTGCGTGACAAGGCAAAAGAGAATCAATATTCGTGTTTTGAGTTGATTTAAAATGTACTATTGGTGAAAAGAAATTCCTTCTAGTAGAAAAGAGGGCTACAATGTAAAAATGATTTCACAACTAAATCAGTAATCAGAAGGAATTTGTTGTGTGTTTGCAGGTTTTATGTTTATGAAGGGAGCTGTTGTGGTGGTGGATGTGGATTACTTTGTTTGTTTGAATTTATGTCCAGTACAGCATCAACTAAAGATTCACCAAGATCAATGCTACCCCTCCAAATAATGCCTCCCAAACCCGAGCCCGGAATTTGGCCGAGATGAGTTCAGATTTCTATGGTTGGAGATATATATATATAAAGACTACACCTGGACAAGAACAATTCACTTCTTGTAATTACCCTAAGAACCAACCCATTTTTATGCCTTTCAACAACATATGAATCAGGACAAAAATTTGTTTCTATATTAGTGGCCAATCTTTGACTGTTCCTCATACATCTGTTACTTTCCCAAACAGAGATATACTATTTGGAGTGTTTCGTCAACTCCATCTTTCTCTTCTACATTTAAAGAACAAGGAAACCCCATCAAACATACGTCTATAAAGACCTGTATTCCTCTTCATGCGCTGATTTGAAAAGCACAATCTATCTTGAGTACATTATTTAGCACAACTGCGGCTTTTTGACTCTAGCAGCCTCCTTTTCACACGAAGACGCGCAACTTCAACACAAGCTCTCTTTATACTCATCACTCGAACTGAGCCTGCCTCTGCTTCTTTACAGAGACTAATCAACCCAAATCGAAATCGAACGACAGTTGCTACACTCAATCTTACCTTTCTCCTCTGCGAATGTTAGATAAAGCCAATCAAGATCAACTACTCTTCTTGGCTGTTCTTGGTTCTTGGTTCTTTTCGTCGGGTTTGACTACATCCTCTGCATACAAAGATAAGGCAATACTCAAATCAGCCTCCACATTTTTGCCTCTTCAGAGCAGTTTTGTTTAGTTAGGCACTTATTTCACAGGGATTATTGGGGCCAGCACACGTACGTGGCTCAGAATTACTTATCCTCTCGATAAGTCTGAGATAGCAGTATACTCTCGGCTACGATCATCTATCTCCGTCGCCGCCACTCTTACAGACATCGAAGGAAGCTCTACCCTCTAGACCAATACCCTCTCTCATCACTTTCAACGAGGAAGCTCAATACGATGGAGAAACGATCTAATCCAAGGATCGACAATGATCGTACCAGGGATGCACAAGCTGACGAGACTCAAAATACTTGTTCACTAGCGTGCCAAGAGCTAACAACCTCATCTCGAAATCGTGCAGATGTGGATCAAGCCAAGATGCTTTCCGAAACCAACAGTCTCGATGAAGTGTCTAGTGCAATCACTGAACTTCCCGCCATGTCTTGCCATATCCCAGACCTAAACATCCTGTCACAAACCTCTACTCGCCATCCTAAGTTGCCTTTTACAACACCAATCACTTCGAACGGCTCCATCCAAAATCGCTTGCTATCAACTAGCATCAGACCTCTTGCAAACTTGGCAACTTTCACATTGTTTCCGAATCTTCCCTTTGAGATACGACGAATGATATGGAAAATGACTTTTCCCGGCCCAAGGATTATTCTCATACGGTCTATTATGAGCAAGTGGCCCCTTCGAACTAGTACCAGACTTCCAAGGAACTATAATACATATAAATCCAATTACGCTATGCCAGTTGCAATGCTAGTGTGCAAGGAAGCTTCAGACGGTAAGATCTCTTTCTATTTTTTTATACATATTTTTTACATATTTTTTAACACAGATTGCTCAAGAGATGTATTATTGTCGAGAGCCTTGCCTGTAATGGGAACTGGCTCTTCCAAATCTTTTCAAGAAGCTTGCTTACAGTTGCTAATCTCTTGTACAGTGGTTTCAGAGGAGTCTCGATTGGCGCGAAAAGATTTTATCTGTAAAGATGTTCCGGGACCATGCCTGCAGAACAAGATTGTTCTGAATTTTAGAGCCGATTCGATATACCTTAATACGGACGACGAACAAGAGGACTCGGCTATTTACTATTCGAGAAGGTGGCGTCCCATTTCAATCTTTTTGGATCTCTGGTTTGATCTTCGCTTTTGGACAAAAATCTCGCATCTCATACTCTCGATTCCTGGGATGTACAAAGACAGATACAATTGCGATGACTTTCGAAAATATATTAGGAACATATTTGCGCACATAGAAGGATTGAACCGCTTAACCTTTGTCCTTGCAGACAAAACAGAGCATCTCCCATACACAGAGAGAGATCTTGCATTAGAGTACCCAATGGATATCGACTACGCTCTGGATTTGTTCGCTAAGCACCCCCGAAAAGTGTCGCGCGAGGAAACGTTGAGACTTGGGGAGTGGTACAAGGAATATTCTGCAAGCTTTGTGGAGTTTGATATGGATGCTTTGAGAGAACATCCTTACCGGAATGATTGGACTTCTGCTAGCAGGCCGCTGATTATTCCGAGAGATGCAGTTATTGATTTTAAAATTATAGTTGAAAGAGAGAAGTCAGAAGAGTTGGCAAGAAGAAAGAAAAGATTCTATGCAGTGAAGAGACAAATTGCTGAAGAGGAAGATATACCATGGCATGATGTTTGCTATCAGGGGTCTGCTAGGGAAACCTAGATGATGTTATGAATCAGTCGATCGTCTTGAGCTTTGAGGTGCTGGCAGCAAGGCTACTTAGTTTGCTCTTCTCGATTTCATTGCATTTCATCTGTAATTTCAATCACAGGTTTACAGTATTCCAATTCATCTCGCGCAGCAACTTCACCATGTATGGCTTAAAGTGTTAAAGAATAGCCTACGCAATAATGACATGCTTTCCAATATTGATCAAAACCCAAAGGTCTAAACATAAAACTTAAATGAATCAAATTGATTTAGTACATCCTGACTAAGTGTCCATCATGATTCATAGCACAAAATTCTAACTACACAACAAATTCTTATGTTTTACATTCACCAAGCGAGATACCCTGAACGAGAAATCATTTTTAAGAAAGCTATCTCGCCTTGCACACCTAGGTGTAATAATTCAGTTGGTGTTTAAAACTCACATGTCATCATGGCATCGTCTTGTGGCACTTATTGGACAGAACATATGAAATTTAACCAATCTGTACTCGGCGATATCTCTGGAGCTGAACTCCCGAGTGATAGTTACTCCGGTTTCTACAACCGGTAAAACATCCCCCTCATCTATCTCGCGATTCTCTCCTCCCCCTCTCCCATCCCAAAATCCTTCAAGAATCTCCCCCAAACAGCTCCCTTTCCACTCTCCCCCACCGCCACACTCCACAAAACTCTCGCAGCACCATCCTCCCATCCAATTGGACATCCATCCCACCCACCATTCCTCTTCTTACTCTCAATCACTTCTTTGGGTGCACTCAAATACCCAGGATCCACACTATTCATGGCTACTTTTCGATCTCGCCATGCTGCTACTGCTTCGGTTTCCGTAAGCATATTGAGTGCGGCTTTCGCGAGATTCGTGTGGACGTGGCACCCGTTTTTATGACGGTTAGTGGGTGTAGACTCGAATACTCCTTCGCGAGCTGAGACGTTGATTATGTGGGCTAGAGGCTTGGCGGGTTGACCATTAGTTGCTGGATGTGGACGGGGAGTACCCATGAGAGGAAGAAGTTCGCGGATCAGGATTAGAGGGACGAATGTATTGACTGAATGCGCGGAAATTATGTCTTCATAAGGTATTTCGTATAAGCTTTGAACCCAAGAGGTCTTGGGTTCTTCCATCATTGTTGAGATTGAAGTGGTGTTTTCTGTTCGTCCGATTATCCCGACCTCCTCTGTGGATATCCCGTTGAGACGCTTTTGTTCTGTGTCGAACGCTAGAAGATTTAAACTCTGAATGCCGCCTCTGATCCGAGCATTATAATTGATATCAAGGAGTAGATTGTCATAGTTATTGTCCTCAAGTCGTAGCTGGTTTTCCAATTCAATGGCTCGTCTTTCTTCTTTCACCGAGTCTGTCCAAGTTTGGGCTGCATTGTTTATAAGAATATCAAGTCTTGGTGTATTATCTATACTCCAATTCCTCAGTATTTGCTTAATTCCAGCGACCAAATGAAAGACGTCGTTCGCTGCTCTGAAGTCGGCTCCCAGGATTCTCAACCGCTTGACCCACTTTCGCGAGTCGCTTTCCGCTAGATATCTCACCGCTGCGTCTCGTGGATACCGAGAGGATACTATTACTTGAGCACCACATCTGAGCAGTCGTAATGCGGTATAGAAGCCCAGGTTGATTCGTCCTCCTGTTACCAATGCCGTTTTACCATCCAGATTCAGAGCTTCAGGCAGTGAAAGATTGCTTGATGCAAGATTGAATCTTCCGCAGGGTTTACAAAGAGCGGGATATTGAGGATGAGGACTCGTAATAAGAAAGTGACAGAGATAGCATTTTCTTTCCTTTCTTTTTCTTCTTGTTACGTCTTCGCTTGCCGTGGAAAATGGGCTCCGCAGACGCTGGTTTAGAACCTGCACTACATTGTTTAATGGTGTTTTCCCATCAATACGAATGCCATCTTGACTCTTGACATAGAAATCAAGTACTCTAAGTGTAGTCTCGACATCTTCTATCGAAGGTGGATTCTCAGTAGCAACTCCCAGAGCATCCGGAAGCCTTCCATGCCTAGATTGAGGGCTCATTTGATGGAGGTAGGCTTGAATTCCCTGGATTATGCCCTTATACAAAGCCGTTCCTATCGAATATGAGTACCGAGCCGGCGCATTTTTAGGATACAGCTCTTTCGCTATTTTTTCCCCCAAGGGAGATTCGACGTGAGGAAGATAGAGGGCTAAAAGACTTGGAAGCCCCTGTGTTTGGCATAACTCTTGATCTTGTCGAATTTGTTGGGCTATTGAAGAAGGGGTGTGGTTTTTGATGTAGTCCTGGCATGATTCTTCGGTGTTCAACATGACTACCAGAATAATTCACAGCGAGATATTTTGTGACTGCTTTTTTTGTTTTATCCTTCGAATTACTCACCGAGCCCTATAGGTGGGGGATTTAAGCTTATTTATGGCGCAGATGGTCGGCCATTTCAGGGGTTTGGCAGGCCAAGCCCACTAATGCACCATCGTGCTGGGCACTGTAATAAGCAGAAATAGGCAGAAATCCTCCAAATTAGTGACTCATTTGAACTCTGCACAAAGGACAACAAAACCACAGTATCGCCCTCAATTGCAGTAATTCTATCCCAAGCCGATAACATTCTTCCAAGCTCGGTACACAATGGACTCCAATGTTTGGTCGATTCCATGGCCACGCGAACTTCCAGTCGTGGTTCGGAGCTTGCAAAAGCTACCACGAGAAATAGTCCATCAAGTTTTGAGCGATTTACCAGTCATCAAGATACTATCCATTCTCTCTTGGCAATTACCATACCTCGATGAATGCGTTCTTTCTCATATAGTCTACGGTCGATTATTCAGCTCACAAGGTGAAATATCGCATGCTTCAAACCACTACAGACTTTATCGCGAGATGTGCTGGTTTCGCCGCTGGCCTCCTGCAGACGCAGAATCCGTATTTGCAAGGTCACCCCAGATGCTCTTGAGTAACTGGGTAAGCTTCGATCTCTTAATCTCGAAAATGAGACGCCTGATTAGAGTTGGCTTGTACATAAACGAACCTGATTTCGATCTTCTCGTCAAGTATGGAAGACCTTTTCCATGCATTACAGGCATTGAACTTGATGAGAATGGATCTTCTCTCGATTTGAAACTTCCATGGGACTATTGGAATTGGATCAAGCATGCTAAGATGGAACTCAACAAACGGAAATCCGACCAAATAAGATTCTCAGCACATTTGATGGAGAAATATCCACGAGTTCTCAAGAGACCGCTTGATCCATCGCAGGGAGCTCTTCGGCCCAACACTACTCATACTGTGGTTATGCTTGAGAGACTAGCAATGAGAACTCTTAAGAACAGAAATTTATCCCATTATTGGGATCATCATCAAGGCCTGTACAAGTCGGGCAGATATGTTATTGAACTAGTACCATATGATCGATACCTTCAGTTACTACTTGACACGTTAGCCAAGTATCCACTCGATATCGAAGTCACTGGTCTTGAGGAAACTCTGGCCAACGTTTCCTTACATAATGGCTGCCAAGAAACGACCCTAGAAGGTACCGAGTTGGCTACTATTCTTGAAAGCGATCCTAATGACTTCATGTACCCAGAAAATATTACTGCTAGTTTAAGGGTAGTATTAAAAGGCTTGATGTATATATACACAGAGCCACCGTTAACAATACCTCGAATTCAATGGGAACCACCTAAAGACGACAATTCCTCGGGGAAGTGGCCAAGGTTCTTCGTTGATAAAGGAATACATGAACATCCACACTTCGAGTATCCATGTGCAAATCAAAAGATAAAACCTTACGATAAAAGAGAGTATGAATGGCTAGCAGCTTTTATCGAAGTAGTCACATGGATAGAGTTGAATATTGGGCCGGCGAAGGAAGATTTTTAAATCTTCATCAATTGGTATTCCGCATATCACTCATTGAACTCAGTCTAAAGCTGCTTGGAAACGGTCTTAGTTATGCTTTTGCGAAGGAATTTTGGTTAGATTATCAGAGCGATTGAACCATAACCCTGAAAAGGGCATCATCACAGACGAGAGAGCAATTACAATGTAAACACCTGCTGCTTATCATTTTATCGAATCTTGAAATTGAATATTCACGGTATCGCATTGTCTCACTGAACACATGTGCGGAAAAGGAACTCTGGTAGATTGACATTCTTGATTTGATTGATTTGACATAATCTAGAATTCAAGCTCACCATACACAGAAGTAATTCTGTTCTACCACCTAAAACAACTTCTGAAATTGCAGACTCTGTTGAAAAGTAAAGCCGAACTGCAAATCGCTGGCAAAATGAATGGTAGGCACTATGGCGATCTCGACGTCTTCAATTTTCTATAGAGCCACCGTAGCTTTAATTCCTGGGGAAAACATTCCTTTTGCGTTCGTTCTGTACATTTTTAAAGTTCTTGCACTCTCCTCGTCCGATGAGGTCGTTCGATAGCATTAACTTCCACCTAAAGTTTCCCTAAATATTGTCATCCAGAAACCGAATCAGGAGGTGGTGCTGGCGGTTCGAGGGCGGACGACGGAGCCTGGACCGAGATTTAGAATTCTACTACAGGCGTTGGACAAGCAGGGTTCTTTCTGTTCTCCTTCTGAAGTTCGCTCTGCATTTCTTCGATACAAACTTTCTATTCCTTTCTACAAGCGAATGCGTCCAAAATATCTTAAGGAATCTCTGGTATGCGTGGTGTGAGGATGTATTTCTTTAGATTCGGCATCAATGTGACCGCATGGTGACCCAAGAATTCTAATTCATCGTGACAATTCCAATGTGCATACTTGAGGGTTCTAAGTTCATCGAATAGGTTATACATCCAAGTTCCAACTGAACGTCTAGAATTCCTGTTGTAGTAATATAAAAGCTTGCCATCAAATTGACAATCCTGTCTCGAGTACTTTATGCTACTGCAGTCAAAGATGTCTTTGTCGGGGTTGATGAAGAAAGTTCGAAACAAACCATTTTGATTGGAATTAATGTCACCAAAGTGTAGACACACCTTCTTATAATGTTTTTCAGCCTCTTCACAGCTTTCGCGGGTGACAAACAAGACTGATGGCGTTAGGGCACCCAAGTCAAAAGATATATCCGTTGGATGAGTAGTTATCTCCAGTAGGCGCTCCTTCGAACAAGCTAGACCCCAAATCACCAGCCTTAATTCGAGGGCGAGCCGAGGAAATGGTTCCAATGTACTAGGTGCTTCTTTTAATATGGTATCCGAGCTTGTATTAGTCTCATTCTCAGGGAGCGATTCGAGTGGGCTGGCTACTTGTTGTGTGTCGGTCGCAGGAGTTGCCTCGCCCTCGTTTGTGCATGAATTGGAGTTATTGGTTTCTTATTGTAAATTGCAGATGGTCAATTGTTCAACACCAGAATTCAAGCTATCGAGTGCCCCATCTATCATTGTACTGGGATTTGCCATCCTTTGCGGTGATATCTTCGAGGAGCTCTACATGTGCAGTCTTTTCAAGTAAGATAAGGGTTAGAGGTGGTGATATGATAACTGGATAGGAGACGGATATGGATGTGAAAGTAGATGGAGAGAACGCAGTTGTATTTATGTTGAAGTCTAAGGTGAGGTTAATAAACTAGGTAGAGACACGGGTTAAGAGTTCGGTTATCGGAGAGATACAAGCTAATGAAGTTATTCACTTAAATGGACCGTAGTATTCACTCGACTTTGGGGTTTGCACATCCATCAAAAGGTTGCAATATGGTCATCGTAACAGATTATACAGTAAATGCTTAGCTGATTCTAGAAGATGCTGTCGTTTGGAACCCAAAATGTGGAACACTGCAACAGAACAATGAAATTCTGAACACACTCTGGATCTTGAAACATTGCATCTACAGTCTTTCATTAATCCAGACTACTTCAATGATCAATTCTCAATCATCAAGATGATACAAACAACATCCCACACAATCACTTTCGAAGCATCGTACAGTAAGCCTGCGGCTACCCTGTCATTTCGAAGATGCAGTACCTAGGACTCACGTCTATCGATCCACTCGGAATACTTTCCACTAGCCAAAAGTCTACACCACTACCTTCTTATACCCATTACTCACCTCACGAACCATCTCAGCGATCTCGGAGATTGAAAGAGTGGATTTACTATCCATTCACCGTTTTCAAGGGACGAGAGGAGTTCGACGGAAAGATCAGAGAAATGCTACTGCAAGGGTTCACGGCAACCATCTGTGAAATCTGGACTGATGCCAGACTATCGACTAAAATGTTTGCTTTACAGAGTTTGTCAAGTCTCGGGGAAAAGAAAAGTGCTTTGAAGAATTGGCTGAGACCCAAGAGACGGAGAATGCGTCAATGTAAAAAGAAGGCGGAATGATACTTGGAGAGGTTCAGTATTGACCGTAGAATAATCTTTGAAACATTAACCTCTTTGAAGATGCCCAATGTGTGAGACTGTTTCAGGTGATGATATTTTGGGTAAAAATATTAGACAATAAACTATAAATATAACCCATCCACTCTAAGTGGCTTCCGAGAAAGCGCTGGTATCTTTTAAAACAATGGTATCTAAGCCGAACCCTATCCGCATTAGACACCCCAACACCTAGTGTACGCCGTGAACTCCGTTCTCAATAGTAACGCCAATCATCAGGATAAATAGGTAATAATACGATCAAGAATGCAACTCGTAACGATATTTTCTTCCATGTGCCACATCTCCACATCTATGCCATGGAATCCCCTGTACGAATCCTCATACTGTGAATTTCTATGTCTGTTGTCCGCTGTATATATTTATCTCCATGCATAGTTTGCGGATAAACATGATCAGTTGAACTGTTCGTCTCCAAGCTTTGTTTCATATAAGACATTCGACTTTTTCTTCGAGTTGGCAATGAGCTGAGATGACTGTTGTAACTGTTGTCGGGACTGGCGTATGATCCAGGATTCTTGCCGCTGACAAATCGATCCCAATATGGTTTGAGTGGAGGAATACTTCCACAAACGATGATGACAAAAAGTTCCGAACCGCTCCAGACGAGCAAATCGTAAGTTTTCCCTGGTTGTTGTTAGTGCTTTGTTGTGTTACTGTCGAGATATATTTGATAAGCTTACAAGTAAGATCGGAGTGGGCGTTGAGTGAGCCCAAGAATGTTGTTTTGACAATACAGCAGACCGCGGCACTGCTATTGTTAGTGCTTATTCTCTCAAATTGAAAGAGAGTTAACTTACATAAGACCAAGGCCCAAAAGTATGGTCAAGTTGACACGCTTCTTCATATCCATGTTGAGATTCATGATGACACTAGCAGGTACAAGTGCGAGCACAATGTCCGCGAGACAATTCTCAGCTGATACAACTCGTTAGCAAGATTTATTTGGTTGACGTAGGCGTTGCAATACGAACCTGCAGTAAACATAGCGAATCGAGATTGAACATTCGGATTCCAGCACGTGTGTGGAATACTTGAGTCCCATAATGCCCTAGGCGGACTGCATTGCACATAGGTGAAGATGCAATCTAGTCCATTGATCAGAGCAGTGAGCCCCATAGCTCCATAGACAAGCCATTTACGCCAAGCGGTTGTATCACCGCTCATAATTCGAAGAACGAGAAATCCCACTGCAGATTTTCCAGTGACAAAGGCGAAGACAATGACTACTTGAATTATGTAGTTGAACTTTGCAGCTTTCATTGTTTGATCTAAGTCGAGGTAGTATAGATGTCGAAATCCTCCAAGTTTCCATTCGTATGTCATGAGACCGCCATATGTTATAAAAAGACACTATCATTAAGTTAGAACGACATCATATGAGTTTTGAAAGAGATATACGTACCAAAGTAACAAGCATGACCCAATCATCCCTCCCAAGACCTTTGATCATAATTCTGGCATAAAATCTTGCCATGACAATCACGAAAGCAAATGCAATCTGGGTCAAGACGATTATAGAAGCCGTTATTCCCCTGTCAACGTCTCCACCTGCTGGTACTTCAGTGCCGGGCATATTGGCGGAACTGATGTATAGGCTGATGTAAAGTCGATATGAAACAATTGAGCATCAAACAGCAGATCGAACAATCTTAATCAAAAGCAAACCAACGATCATGATTCATGTTCGAAGTTAATGGGATAGATTATCTATTAAACTACTTGAACATCTTTCTTGGTTGAACCCCCACAATGATATTGATATCCTATCGTAAGCACTGCCATGACCTACAGCCGATCCATTTTTGTCCTGGCGTCGCATGGCGACAAGGGTAGAAGAAAATCATTTGAAGGATTTTCGCACAATCACAATCACTGATAAATTCCATTCCTGGAGCCTAGAACCGCGGTAACAAGCGAATTGAAAGGGGGGGTTGCAATTGCTGTGCTGGCAAAACCGATACACGACATGTCATGTCTACTAGCTCTCTGCAGGCGTTGTTCTTTGCGTTGTTCTCTTGGAGGAAAAAAGATATACTGACTACTTAGACTCGGGCCCATAGTATGATTGACTTTGTACTGGAATATTCCGTGCGCCTCAGCTTAGCCGTTGTTACATTGCCAATGAGACTGAATATACAAAATTGATTTGATAGGTGACTGCTCGTAAATCTACGTAAAGGACCTACAGAAGCAAGTATAGACAATGTGCGATCGAATGTCCGAAAGAAGAAGCCGAAGCCGAAGAGTGATATCAAGCATGGGGATTGTCCTTTGTTCAGTATCCTGAATTCCTTCCAAAGTCCTGATCGGATTACGCATTGAAGCATAAATATACATTCCTAGCATTTTAGTGACCGTCGTAACGCTGTGGAAATTATTTCTTACTGTCACAGCTCTATCTGACTGTTCAATACTTTGTATATGTTGCAGTATCATTAGCAATTGCACAAGATTGTGAAAGGATCTTGTTAGGGCTTTGTGCCATGTCCATACATACCATGGAATTCCGACAATAATGTAACCCTAAAATAGAACTGTACGACTCAGCCAATGTTGTGTGAAAATCCCCTGTTGCCATGCATCGCTTCTGCCTACCCATGCAGCAGGGCTCCCTGACAAGGACCAAATCGAGATTCAAACGTGGGGGTTTCCTAGTATGCAAATTGACCAGAATGTCATAGATGGGAGCTTTCGCATATGGCGCGCTTCTAAGATAGTATCACATCACACTGTTAAATATATAACCACGTCGGAAATCATCCTAATCAACCTCGCGGGCGCTACAACTCTAGATCGATATTGCACCGAGAAGCACGTGGTCAGTGCCCACTGTCACTTACCCTATCCGTCACTACCCACCAATTTGAATCCGTGCGTGGAAGCTTGGACGTGGGCCACCGTTAGACCTATGACAGGCCAGGCGAGCCAAGGTTGTGGTAAAGGTTGTGAATACCCCGCTTAGCAGATGCCAGATGGTTCAAGAAGTCTAATAACCAGATTCCTGGGACATGTAGTAGTTGTTGCCTTGCGCATTCTAGATATCTTAGATGGCACACGTCAATTAGCGGTAATGGCACTTTGTTCCCGACCAAGAATTTCAAAGATTTGACATCGGCTACGAACCGCCCAGTTTAGCATAGTCTTTAGCGCACGAACGATATGTGGAGACTTATTGAGTGGAATTCGCGGAGATGATATATCTAGCACTAGACTATTGTGAAGATTTGGGCGAATGCAATCTCAACATTAATAAAGAGACAATTGCAATTTGCAATTGACTCCGCTTAGGTAATTTGAGGCCTAGCTATATTCTCATCACATCTTTAACTATTAACCCTAGATCTGGATCAGACTTTACGAACCCGAGAGCCTCGGAATCAGACTGGAACAGCCACAATTATGCTATCTCCGAGAGAAGCGGTATATTTGACGATTCTCTTTGCTTGAAGACCAACGGATGCTAAAAGAGCAAGCCATTCTCCTTCAGTTCGCTCAGTTGACGCTAGGACAGTCATCATAACCAAGTCAATCTGGGTTGCATGCCAGTGTGCGCCTGTCTCAGGGATAACCATCTCATCAATTAAGATGGCTGAGTCAAGACCCATTGCATCTTTCAGATGCTTCAAAATGATGCGGCATTTCTCATCGGCGTAGTCGTGAATGATGTTGCGCAAGTAGTAGTATTTTGCACCTGAAATGCTTGTCAGCATGTAATCACAATTTCACTAGTAGGATCGCAACAGACCTATGACTATTTGAGGCGTGAAAAAGTCATGCACTTCGAGCTCCACATCCTTCATTGGAAGTGCATTCTTTATAGCATGATCAAGCTCCTGCAAAATTACGCGACCAGGGACGTTGGGTTTCTCCATTCTCAACTCCAAACACTTGTGACCAAAACCACCGCCGACATCAACAAAGACAGGCTCCTTAGGATTCCAGTCTTTGGTCTCTTCTTCGATTGGGTACTTGGAGAGCCAAGTTGGCATCTCACCACGTTGACCCACCATAAAGTCGGCAAAGTAGTTGATTAGTCTAGGCTGTTCTTGAATCCAGTAGAAGTACGGAATTTCAGTTTTGAAGGCGATCTGAGCAGGTGCACAAGTGTTATCTGTGATGTTTTGATATTTTCTCTCAGCCAAATAGTCAGGCGTAGCTTGTAGTGTAGGGCCAAGCGAATGAAAGCTGCGAATTCTGTAGTCAGTGATGGATGTACCGAAAAGTCTTCAAGGCTATGAGAAGGGATCACTGACTAGTGGCCAATACCGCCTTTGTAACCCTTTTGAGCCAGAGCTTCAGTAACCTTGCTGGCCTCAAAAGTGTTTTTGCCAGTCTCACGAATCATTCGTACAGAGGCAAGATATCGGAGTAAGCGAACTAGTTATGCCGTGAGAAGGAGTCAAATTTGAAGCTGAGCATCGAACTCACCTAAGAAGGCCGGATCTGACTCGGTTTCCTTTGCCAGCTGCTCAACATTCATTGGCTCCTTCTTTGCGGCCATGATTTCAAAGAGCTTCATGTCACAGCCAATCTGAGCACCTGTCAATTGAAATTGCTAACACAGTTTGAGTTAGCAGAAGTAATGTTTATTCTTGTAATCTGAATCAAAATAACCCATACCAGATACATGATACGCTGCATAGAGTCCCATGGTGTCTCTAATTCAATAGAAAGATCTCTAAGACCATCGATTATCTTTTTTCGTCCTGCTTCATCAGCGTTTGCAGCGGCAGCCTTCACGTGAGTGATAAGATCATCCATTCTGATGTTAGTATTACACTTGAAGTTGAAATTGTTTCAGGTTTGGTCGTGTAGTGTAGTAAAGAGTTTTGATGGGAAGAATGTTTGCAGACTTTTATATTAGGAGGTTGTTCATGGAGAGTCTTTATAAGCACATGAAGATATAAGAGTCATAAGTCCATTGCTCCTTCTTCAGAATATAAGTAAATGTTATCTCAAAACAAAGCATAACTGACACTCACATGATATGCAGCCAGTGAATGTTTAACCACAGGAACTGCCGTAGTACGGCTTTTGCCAATGAATGAGATATCAGGGGAAATGGCGCAGCGGGGTTATTCGATAGAATTATTCAAATTCAAGACACCTACCATTAATTCGCCGCATGTAGGGAGTCACTCCATCCCTCTTTCGATACTTACTTTTTGTGATACATCGGATCACTTTGAAACTCTTCTTCTTTGCTACCAAGTTAGACTAATCTCCTAATTCTATAACACAATAGTTTGTACCAGAACCACAAAACCCATAGTAATTCCAAATAAGCAGATCATCTATCTAGATACTGCCAAGCGTGGTGATCATTCCGAATTCAAACTGACATGATTTTCTGTCATCAAATCTTTAAGCAAGGTTCTAGATTCGATATGGCCTTTTGAATTCATTCAAAGGTTCAGATGTACACAACATATACGATGCCCAAACTTCAGGGTTGCATTATTATTGGTGCTCGTAGCAGTAAGTAATGGCTTCAGCTGAATGAGTAAGCTGCAGGAGACCCATGTCACACGTGAGTTACACAGGTTTTCAGTCTCCAAGGAGGGACGTATATTTGGCTTTTCGATAATACTACGCTATGGTTTATCCCGGAATAGGATTTCTTATTGAAACTCTGTTCTCGTTTTCCCGTGGTTCGAGCATGGTACTAGTTCGGTACTAGTTCTATAGGTAACAGTACGGTGAGGTTCCCAGGACAAGCAAATCTCTCTACAGAATTGATTGCGAATACAACGGTAATCTTCGATGTACGACGAGTATGAGGTCAATTACCACATGGGAGATGTACAAACATGATACGCATATTCTTTAAGCAGGATCCGTACCTGCACAATCAGTGCCACACAGACGGCAAGTGGTAACTCAATAAATGGGACGCACTCCTTCGACCGAGCAACTGCGGGTAATTGATGGCGCATTTTTGGAAAGCAGTTGTGAAGGTCATCTTTGTGTTCTCATCCTCAAGCTTGCTTGACAAGGGCCTGTACACCAGGATCTACAATACCCCCCTCCCAAACTATAGTACTATCCAACATTCTTGCGTCTGGTGAATTTGAGTCGTGCCATGTGTTTGGGCAAAATGACTGGGTCAACCATCTTCGATCTCACAAGAAATGTAAAGATTTTTCATCAGATCGCTCTGTCGTAAACATAAAATCGATCAATTTTAGATCAGTGATGAATTCCAAAAGAACTAATCACTCCCGTGATCTATGATTTTCATCAAATCAATCATGTAATGGGTATCGCAAATAGCCAAAACTTCCCGTCCACATAACGCCGTAGTGTTTCGCCGTGTGGTATTCATTTCTCGGTGGCAGGTGTATCGGATTGGTAAACCCGCCATCGTTTGCTCAACGGCATTTTCCTCGCTTTGAACTACCCCTTTTTCACCTCGCCCATCCATTTTCCCATTGCCTTGGATCCCTCGTGTGCCGCCTTAAATAATCCGCGTTCCGCCTCATCCAAACCCCTCAAGAACTCCACGCCTTCTCCCCCACCTCTGCCATTACTCTGTCCTACACTTCCACTTCCAGCATGATCGCTGATTTCACCAGCTCTTGTCCTCCAACTCTCCATCAATACGTCGCAAACCTCTTCCTCTTCGAATAACTCCAAAACTCTCACGCCCAATCCATAAAAATTCTGTGCCAGATTGCGTAAGTCGACACTCTTAGGGTCGGCTTTCAATGCATTGAGAACGCGCGGCGCAAGACAAGCAGGTAGATCAAGGGTAACGAGAGACTTTTGGGAAGATGGAGATGAGGAAACGGCAAGTAATTCCGCAAGCCATAGAGGAAGATCGACGCGTGTGTGCTTCTTTAAGGGGGTAGCAGCATTGTTGTCAAGATATCCTAGAGAGGGAACATCAAGCTCGAATGTGCATGGGATTTTCTGACATATATTAATACAATGAATCTGATTGGAAGGAGGGGTAAATACTTGAGCGTCGGTGAGGATCGCGTCAATATCGTAGTAGGACATTCTTAAAAGCCACAGATCTGCGGCGAATAGCTCAGGCTTCACCTAATCCGCATAATATTATAATTTTTTGATATTCAAAGATATGTTGGGTGAAAGAGTGCGCGACGATGAACTTGTTTGATATCGGCTCCGTGCCATTATTTGCGTTCCCATCGCTTATGTAATCGGTAATGACATAATGATGTTGGAGCTCCAAATATTTACTTCCGGAGCTTCCCCTCCTTGCAAGACGTCCGATTGACATCTGAAAGCAACATCAATAATTGAAGCAACACCAACTTCAAACGTTCAAATAAAATTCAAAATGTCCACCACACTTCTTCGCACATCTACCGCAGCTCGTGCTGCTCTTAGAGCCAGCTCTTCTAAACGAGCTGCCTCAATGGCAAGCACAAGCTTCATCCGTGGAAAGGCTACTCTTCCAGATCTCCCATGTCAGTTTCTTCCATACCTAGATTAAGCAGCTCCGATATCTCATTGCATATCCTAACTTTGGTTACAGATGACTACGGTGCGCTCGAACCCTCGATCTCCGGTAAGATCATGGAGCTTCATCACAAGAACCATCACCAAACCTACGTTAACAGCTTCAACGCTGCGAGCGAGCAAGTCGAAGCCGCTACATCTAAGGGAGATATTGCTGCTGCCATTGCATTACAACCCCTCATCAACTTCCACGGAGGTGGACATGTGAACCATAGTTTGTTCTGGGAGAATTTGGCACCAAGTAAGAATGGTGGTGGTGGAGAGCCCACAGGTGCTTTGAAGGTATGAATCGATATTCGCTATGGAAATTTGTAGCTTTATTGGAGTCAAAGAGTATCGGCTAACAAGAGCTTCATAGACTGCCATTGAGACCAGCTACAAAGATTTCTCATCCTTCAAGACGAAATTCAACGCAGCTTTGGCGGGCATCCAAGGAAGTGGATGGGCGTGGTTAGTCAAAGACAACGAGACTGGTCAAGTTCAAATCAGAACATATGCAAACCAGGATCCAGTCGTAGGCAAGTACACTCCATTATTGGGTGTTGATGCTTGGGAGCATGCGTACTATCTTCAATACCAAAACAGAAAGGCAGAGTATTTCAGTGCTATTTGGGATGTAATTAACTGGAAGACTGTGGAGAGCAGATTGAAGTGAATTGGAGACGAGGAAGCCAAGCGTTAGATACCTAAGTAGTCGTTAAGCGTAAAATGGATGTAGGATCAATTCAAGCGTTGTATTGCAGCATTTCTTGGAATCTTGTTAGGCCTACGTATTTAGAGGAATGTTCATCCATAAACACCCGTTTTCACAAGCACATGGTGATTCATAATTAATGTTGCAATGTTATTAATTTTTCCCTGAGATATCCTTCCTTCGTGACCTATTGCTCCGCTACCACTCCCTACCCCATCTAGCAGGTATCACAATGGTAAACAATCATGATCCATCATACATAGCTTCGAAGACGATATTCCAAAATCCAAGTACCAAATATCATCTTTCAAAACATGCCTTATAACTCTTCACATAAACCCTCTCCTCCATCCATACTCCTAAACACTTCCTCAAACTAGATACCTTTAACTCCAAAGGTAGAAGGTAGGTGCATGAAGATGATAAAACGATAGTCGAAGTTATCATCCGAATTTCTTATGAGTATAACGCGATGCTCTCTCTTGTGAGCGGTTAGAGTTGGTGCTATTGGTGAAAGAAACATTGCTAACGAGGGCCGGTGAGTGTCGAGGCGATCGATCGGAGTTCGACATATCTTCTCTGCCAAATCAGAATGCCTGACTCGCTCTTTTCTTTTCAATGGCATTTGCAACAGGTATGATGTTTCCAAGCAATTGTTTTACGAATGCGTTCATTTAATGCCTGCTATTTCAAGCTGATCGGGCGGATAACGATCGATGATGGGATCTGAATTGGAGTTCTCCCAGCGTGCTGTCCAGAAAATTGAGCCCAACTGGACATTCTCATCCATAACATGAATCCAAAACTTTCTCTGTAACCAAGAAGCTTTCTTCCACTGCCCCAAGCGGAACTAGAAAGCCCTCATGCACCCCCATCACGAATGGGAATGCCGATATTTGGCTCCTCAAGGATTCGAGTTGTATCCGATTGTATTCATCTCATCAGAATTTCTTCAATAAATAAGACAAAGATTGAAGCAATATCCTAAAATTCTTTTGCGTCCATTGTGTTCCATTTCGAGTAGAAAGTTGTTGCGGAGGAGAAGATTTCACAGCATTCTTTGCAACGATAAGCTCGTAGCTATTACTGTAAAATCAATCTACTCCTTCTGACGACTTCTTCCGCGTTCTGTAGATCTCTACATAAATGTTAGCCTGAGCTTGTGAAGAATCCAATGGGCCTCAAGAGAGGGCAAATACTCACATCATGTGATTTAGAGTCATGTGAGTAATTGGTCACATGTTCTTCCGCCATGTATCGATTCTCTTCATACAACATGTTTAATGGTGTCCCGTCGAAAGTCAAATCAGAGTCGTCGATACTATATGGTAGCCTCCACGCTTCAGCTTGAAGATCGAAGTTGGTGTTTTGATCATCGAATGCCGTAACATTTGTGATCAAGAAGTATTGTTTGACTTCAGCAGATGTATTGCTTGCATCGTTGCCCGACATGATGAATGATTAAAGATATAAAGTAAGTCTCGGGTTTTGATATTGACCTGGGTGAGTTTATTTGCAGTAGGCAGTAGATATAAGTTAGAGATGAGGCTGATATTGTTTTATGTCTAGTTAGAGATGTGTTGGCAGTGTTGAGTTGTTGATTCAAATGTGCAACATTAGACATCAACAGCAAGATGGTTAGAATGCGGCAATACCCAACACTTATATATATACATATCATACATAGAAAACTAGGTATCCGATGATGCCTCTCATATCGGGCAGTTCACCGGACTCTTACTCGCCGGATCGAGAAGGCCAGATGATAATCTTTAAAGTTTAGGTCCGACCGAAAATCTAGGCAATTCCCCGACACAACTTGGATTTGTCAATGCGGGTGTGACCTGACTTGGAAATAATCATGGAGATGCATTTACTCAAAAGCTAAATTGGTGGAATATCATGTTCCTGACTTGTCACGACGCGCTGTCGGTTCAGGTTTTGGTAGAGGCTTAGAGGTTGTGCGACGGAAAAGCACCGCCGAAGGTTAGAACATGACTCAGCTTAGTAAAACCACCACCAGCATACCAGGAAACGTTTTGATACTTCGTTTGAAGCACAAACCAAACAACACCAGGACACAGTTCCACTGGGGAAAAAACGACTTTTACCCGAAACTCTATCTCTTTTATCTTTCAACATGTGATGATAAGAATCCGAGAGGCCTACCTGATACTCGAGACATGATTCTCGGATTACATCTCCAATTCAATTAACCGACCTGCTTCGAAGTTGGGAAACAGGGGACTCAGCAGAGACAGCTGATATTGTGACGATACATTATGACCTTCAGACTACCTTCTCAACCGCCAAAGCCGCTGAAATCGAAACAAAAATCATTAATTTGTACGAATGTAGCAATATGCACTCCGCCATTATATTCAACTCGGCAACAGATACATCAACAAAGTCTCCATATGGTCAAATCAACTTCCTTGCTACCCCTCCTCGCCCTCCATTCGGGCAATAATACCTCATCGCTTACCCCGCCGCAATATATCGATCTTTTCTTTCTGGGGAACTTGAACCAATTTCAGCTGCCAATAATACATAGCCTCTGACAATATTCGATGGTGGTCAGCCTCATGAAGTATACAATACAATTAGAGATATATCCCGCAGATCGCGCGAGATCAGGTTAGTATAACACTTCCCATCAACTATCGAAATTTGGGTCGTGAAACATACGGCTTTTGAAACGGCGATTCATTAATGTCAGAGTAGTCTCTCGTTGCCTAAGATCATACTTTTTCACACATTATCGTTACTATTTCTATGTTTGGTAGAGTCAAATTCCTCCTTGGGGAAGTCCCTTCGGTCCGTCTCATTATAGCCCGGCCAAGTATACAAGCAACCAATTAACGAAAAGTACTCGCAAAAACAGCGCCTCTTCACATGCACCCCATAAATCGATTTTGATTATATCTCCGAAGCTTATTCCTGCACTCACACTCTACATGCTTATCGTTGCATTTGCTTTCTTATCTGCATCCTGGTTGCGTACATCATTCTCGTGGCAAGACTACATCTTCATGACTATAAAGTCTGTCTGTGTATGCGGCAAATGTTTGTCGTCACATTACAAACGCAAACGATTACTGTTTGCCATGAGATATTTCGTTATCGGGAATTGTCATGCCCGTGGCGTTCGAGTAACGAACACACTTGATTCACGCTTCGCCACTCACGCGATAACGATTACAATGATGATGTTGTGAAGAAAGCAAGTGTACTATGCCTGTTCATGGTTCTTCTTAGTATCATAGCGAGTTATACATGAATTATGCATATAGGGCTGAGCTAGATTTCAGGTTTAGGCTTTGAGTTCCGCGGCTTTACCGCAAACATCATCTGACTTCCTTGTTTCACTGTTGCTCACGTTCATTCAATCAAATGTTTGGAATCATTTTCTGACGTTTACTCCGCTTTTCAGAAATTATCACACCACACTGTGTCACTGCGAATTCGTAACTCTTACTTTGAATTCACATGACAACGCTGGTTACTAGCTACAAAAAGTGACATCTACGTCATTGTGGTTCTGTACACCTTTATTGTCACGAACGAGGAGAGGTTGAGTCGAAGATTTTAGTAATGATACTTAGCTTCAAGATCCAAAATGGTAAATCTATTAGGTCTTCTCATTAGCGTTTTTTCTTTGGTTTTTACACATCATTTCTGATAGGAAGAATATTTTTCGGTTCACAAAACCTCGTGCTGACTTAGATAGCTAACCCCGTTGCAAGCCTGGGGAAAGTCTCTGCTAACTCAATGGAATATACTTATCCTGATCCAGAGCTTTGAAACATGTTTAACGTCTTCTTCCCCATTTGGGCCTATCATATTTTAATTCGTGCATTTGTTTCGCAATGGTTCCTGCGTGCTCGACATTAAGCAGGTGGTACATTTCAATATCGGGTTCTCTACCAGGAATTCCAATCGCTTCGCAATTGTCTCGAGTGCATTGAACAAGTGCACAACTTAGCTCCTCTGTGTGTATACCTATCTGCACGTGCTTCTAAGGTAGTGTACGCACGGCAAAGTGGTGCTAAGGAAATTCCATGGCTATGTTCAATGGCAAATCTGCATTCTAGATATGCAATCGTACCATTCAACCCCCTATTAATTTCTTTTTTATTTATAGATTATATAGAGTAGAACTCTTGAAATTCTAATTCTTAAAACTTCCAATCGGAACCACTTTTTAGTATTTCCCTGTCTATTTAAAGTCTTCTGCCTCTGTTTAGAGTTCTACCCTCCATTTAGAGTTTTCTCCCTTTCCTTTAACCTTTTCCCGACTCGTCACTATCAATGATCCTCACCACCTGTATTTTGCAAATCGCGATGCAAAGTGTGGAGAACCCCTGAAAAATTGGAACAGCTGAAAGCTTTGAAGATAGAACGCCAGCCTGCGTGATACGAGCTTCACTCCTGTACACAATGTTGATCTTCATATGATTGTCAGATGGCATGATCAGTATCTCCCGGCTGGTAAAGTCATTAGACATTGTCGTTGATCTGAACGAAAGGATCGTATATGCAGAAGGCTTGATTTTCACCATCTCAATCCGCGGGTAAGCTCTAAGTGTGCATGCCGTTTGGATTTTAGAAGATATCCTGTTTCCGGAGCGTTGAGTGAAGACAGCTGATGGTCGATGAGATAGCGTTGATTTGATATAAAAGACTCGGAAGAGAGAAAAAAAGACTAGCTAAATCTCGAATGTTTCTGTGAAGACAAGGACTATGAATGAATAGAATAGACTACCTACCTCCCTGCAGCCTTCTTATATTCTCCCACAAGGAGTATAGCAAGTCAAAAAGAACAACGATGACGTGTGAAAAGGATTGATATTCGTCTCCCGAGTATGGTCCTACAATCTCTTCGATAATTTTGGTCTCAAAACAGCATGACCTAGTCACCTTCACCTTGTTCTCGCCACTACTCTTACACTTTGCCTACT